CTACACGACAGGAAATACTGTGTTCTCTACATAAATAATTGCTGTCTTAAGGACAGAATCAGGAGAAGCACTACTGAAAAAAGTTTAGTTAGAGATGTAGAATATGTATGTCAATGAAATGAAAATAGACTTTTACATACAGAATGCATTTCCCCAGCCAGGAATCTCAACAGAATGCAGTGGTCTGCTACAATAGTCTTGACAGATCTGAGCACTCTCTTGAGATCCCAAAGCCTGGATACAGTGGAGACATTTTTGTCCTGAGATGTACCCTGTACATGTGTTCCCAATCTCACCTCTATTTAGCTTGGAAAATTAGATTATGTGAGTATCTATGGGAAATTTTGCCAAAAACTCAATATATTGCTGAGGACAAATATGTTGATGGTGAAAAATAAATAAATTAAGATCTGGAGAAATTCTGATTTCTCATTGCACAATTCTCTGTATCCCTCCTGTAGAAATTCTCATCACTATTATTATCATCAACACCATTTTATTTTATTATTACTTCTATTATTTATTACTATATTTATTACTTTGGTTAATAATTTATTATTCAACACAGAGTAGCTGTTGCTGATTTCTCAGTCAGGCAGGTTAGAAATCACTTGCCATGTCACAGCAAGAAATGCCCTCTACTTGTGGAAGAGTCTTGAAGTTTACCATTGGTCTGAATCCCACGGTATCAAAATGCTCATGAGAGTCACTTATAAAGTAATACTTGGTTTTGAACATATCGTAAGGGAGTTCAACAGACCTTCCTTTAAAGAGAAAGCAATAGCAAAAGCACAAGAACCAAGCGAGGAACAGTACCCTGATAATGCAATGTAGTATGGGAGCGAAGTTATTACAGCAAACAGATTAACCAGACTTCAGGGATTTTCAAGGTTTAAAAGGACCAGGAAGTAGCTGGGTTCTTCATTAAGAAGCCTGTTGTTCATTTTGTGTACTGTGTATGGCCAGGGTTTTTTTTGAGCACTCCGTGTTGGTAGTTTAATTGAGGTCCAAACTATTTTCTAGTCTATTATAGGTCTATACTATTATAAGATTTAGAAGTGTTGCTGTTTGGCATATTTTTTTCTTCTAAGCTGAAAGTTCTCGTAGGCCTGGAGACCAGCCATTTGGTACTGAAGTTCTGAGACTTCTTTTTCTGCACAGACAGATGGGAACCCTTCTTATCTCATAGTCTGGTATGGTCCTCAGGCTGTGCTTGCTTAGATTGGTAACTTGTTCAAGAAATTTGAGCCTCATTGTCCTGAGATGAGGCACGCTTGAAGGGAGAATGTTTTGCCTTCCTTATTACACTGTCCAAAATACTACATATTATTACAGATTACCTTGCTGAAGTTGAATTAATATATGCAAAACTCTACTTGAAGTGTATTCAGAGTCTAAATTTTATAGCACTTTTTTAGCCTGAGGGAAAATTACTGCCTTGGAGAGGTTTGTAGACAGCTCGAGCAACGTCTCAGATTTGTAGATCAGTCAAATATACTGATGACTACTAGGTTTGAAGTTTCTTTGATGTTTCCTTGTAATGTTTCTCATAACATTTGCAGAGCTGTTTTCTCCAAGGGTATTTTCTGTCCACTTCAGCTGAGCTCACCTCTACAAAGGACGTATTGAGTCCATTGCTGAGGTCTGTCTAACCCTCTGCTGAAGAAGCAGCCTTTCACCTATTTTAGCTTCATCTGCAGTGAAAAGCATAGGCACGTCAGATGGGTTTTTTCCTTAATTCCAAAGCAACTATTAAAATGTCAGTCTTCACCCTTGTCAGATGTAAAGAAGGGTAGTGAAAAGTTAAAAATGTTACTGAATTACTGTAGCCTCTCAAATGGGAAGTTCAATCTGCTGAATGCCATAAGGTTATACCTTTTCACAATCAGTTCTTTGGAGACATTATTAACTACAGAGTTAACAGTCTTGTAGGCATTATGTTTGGAAAGAAGTACCTTACCAGGCTAAACATTAACCTGTCCATCAAAGAAGCTATTGCTGGGCAAAGAATCAGCTGTTATGCAAACTGAGCACATTCATTTCAGTTTAACAGTGACGAGATGTTCACCATGCAGTACCTTTTTCATCCAGTCACTTCTTCAATGATCTGTTTTGAAGCTAGTTTTCCCCACTTTGGAAAGCTATACAAGTTGTATTATCTAGTGCAGTGATGATTTATGTAGCTCTTTATGCATAAGGTTTTATTTGTTTGTTTATTTTTTATTAATTGCATGCAAAGGTAGTGATGGTAACTGAAACCTTTCCAGAAAAGAGGAGAAGATTATTTTCCCCTAATTCTACACAATTTTTTCATATCTGTAGGAAAACCAAAGTGTGAAAATATTTGATGTGTCCATAGAAGCAGTTTATATTATGGAAATAGAAGTTGTGCTTCTATATTATTACTGCAGTGCATCATAGTTTTACAATAGTTTACAGTTTATTGTCAGATTAGTGGTTGATTAAGCTAGTGCTTTTCTTATCATAAGATGTGACAATTTCACTAATTGTTTTAGTAAGATAATACATTTCCAGGAATAAAATTCATGTAATGTCATGAGCATTCGTTAGAAATAATATTGTGTGTAGTGAGAGTTAGGACTAAACATTTTAAATGACAGATCTTTTTAAGTCAAGCATCAAAAACTATTTTTAAAGATATTCTATCACATTAAAAATTATGTGCAGCTAATATGTAAGACTCACACTTAATAATTAGCCATTGCCTCAGATAACTAAATAATTTTAATCTGGATTTGCAAATCTTTATTTTCCTTAGAGCAAGTTTTAGCTTAATGTTCCTAGATACTGAAATAACCTTTGTTGAATTCCAAGTTAAAATTTTAAATGATGGTAATTCTATATTTCTACTGTCATCCAAGTAATATTATATAACCCTCATCCTCCGAACTCTGTATCTCATGCATATTTCTTAAAAAACAGATTTATTCAGTTTAAACTGTACTTATGTTACAAAGCATTGCAATGAAAATATTCCTTCTGATATTCCGTATGGCTTTTTAGTCTGTTTTGCTGCATAAAGTTTTCTATAGTTTTAAAAGTTGTTTCTACTTTTTATACAGCAGTCTGAAAATTGTTATACAATCTTATGCATTGAAATGATTATTGGAAAGTATAATTATGTCTATATATTTAATCCCTATAAAAGCAGCCGTGGTAGTGGGTTTGTAATGCTTATATGCACATTAAAACTGATTTTTACTTGGAAATAGTGCTTTACTAGTTTATAAGAATCCTCTAAACATTATCTTTGAACTGCTACTCTCACAAATTAACCCAATAAAATCTGCTACTGAACAAAGAATAACGCTGAGTCTTTATTATGTCTCTTTCATGTATGTGATGGCTCTAGTTTAAGCATTTTAAGAAAAGTGTTGAAACTTACTTAAATTTGATTTTTTTTCCTCAAATATTACATGTGTTCCTCCAGATTATTTTTTAAGGGAGAGAACAAACATTTGGAATCATTTAGCTTTAGCCCTGATTTCTCATCACCTGTCACAGTTCTTACCTTTGTGGAGGCATTCTTAAAGGGTTCCAAGCTCCCAATAGCAATCACACAAGTTTCGGATTTCATGAGGACAAGATTCATCAGGAGAAGTGATGAGCTCTGTTAGTCCCCATTGAACTCAGTCTTTGTTTCTGCCAAACGATTCGACGTAAGAGAAGATGCTGTCTTCTGGGACAGGTGCTTTTCAGTGGTTCCTAGTGACAGGACCAGAGGTAATGGACAGAGGGAAATACAGGAGGTTCCATTGGAACATCAGGAAACAGCTTTTCACTGTGAGCATGAGTGAGCCCTAGCACAGGTTGCCCAGGGATGTGATGAAGTAGAAATATTCAAAAAACATTCGGTCAGGGTCCTGGGCAACTGGCTGTAGGTGTCTTTGCTTGAGCAGGGGGAGGTTGAACCAGATGAGAAGTCCTTTCCAACCTCAACCCTTCTCTGATTCTGTGATCTTGCAGTAGGCTGCAGATACAACTGGTGTATATTACTTCTCAGACCTCTGCATAGGAAGATGCATATAAAGTGAGACATAGTTAATTTTATTATCTGTGTTTTGTCACTCTTATCAGTAGCATTGCAGTTTGACATGACATTTTATCAGCTGTGATTATATATTATTCAAGGCACTCTCTGCCATTATTTAGTTTTGGGGTTTTTTTCTCCCTTTTATTGTTCAGGTAAATATCAGCTGTCTCCAACGGTGAACATGCCCCAAGATGATACTGTCATTATTGAAGATGACAGGCTGTCAGTACTCCCTCCTCATCTCTCTGACCAGTCATCATCCAGTTCCCATGATGATGTTGGTTTTGGCACTGTTGATGCTGGTGGATGGGCTAAAGCTGCAATTAATGAGTCAACAGACTGGTAAGAGCATGGGTTAGTGGAAGGAAAAAAAGAGATGACTGCTGTTATGTCCTTTTCTTTAGTTTAATTTTTGGCTACCGCTAATATTAATCTTCTGTTTTTTTCCAACACATTTAGAATTCACTATTTTCAAACTGGTAATTGTCCCTCTTTAAGGAAGGAAGTCTGTACAGATAATTTGTTAGACTTCTAGTTGCAGTTTTGTGCTCTGTCAAAGCACAATTGTGGAAAGGTTAGTAATTGTTATTAAGACCAAATCAGTACATAGCTGTGTTAATTTGATAATTTAATATTAATTTAATTGCCAACTGAGCTAGCTTTTGTAAAAAAAACCTTGAAAAATTTAAACGCTTGAGTTTATGGAAGATGAAAGAATTATTCCAATTTAAAATTTTAATTAATAAAACTCACTGTAAATATTTCTAAGTCTATAAAACAAAGATTTTTTTTTTAATATTCCAATATGTATCTAGGAGCCTTTCAATACTTCTGTATACTTTCTTGATTTTCCTAATAATGTACAGTAATTTTAAAATCCGCTTAGAGGCCAAGGGAGCTCTTTGTTTTGCCCTAGTGTTAATGCTTGTGCAACAAGAGCTAGTTAAGTTTTCTTTATTATGCGTTAAGAAATACCTTTCATATCATTATATGATTTGTAACTATCATGCAAAAGGAGTGTACTGTGATAGTTCCACATTTAAAAATATGGAAAGTAGTATTTCCACATGTAAAACTGCGGAAAGTGATCTTAAAAGTTTAATCTCTAGTAAAAATAATTTCTGTGAATCTTATGTTGACTCTCTATTTACTTTTATACATTTTAGCATAAAAGTCTTAATGAGAGATGCATTGAGCTCCATTATTGAGTTGCTTAGATTCCTGGCAAAGAAATACTGTTTATTGCTTAGTACAATTAATACAGATCTAAGATTTAATTTGCAAGTCCTGTAATTATCTGTAGTAACAGCAAAATAAAAGCCCATCCCTGTACACTGCCACATCTTGAAGCTAGATGATTACCCCAAATGGTGTGAAGTATATGAATTTTCTTATTTTTCTTGTCTCTTGAGCCTGTTATGAATGTGTCAGCAATATCTTAATAAAACAGCAATAGCACCTGCCAGCTGATATGCACCTGTCAGCTTCTTCTTTGCTTTATATTAGGCTATTTCATCTCATGTCCAGGAATTGAGTTCTGTACTTTAAGCACTGTTTTAATGATTGTCTAAAAGGGTAACTTTTTTCATCCTCATTTGCAATTTTTTTAATGTTGCAGCTCTTCTCTTGGACAAGTCATACCTGTAATTTGGGCCCTTGAAAAGTCCATCTGTGTTTTAAAAAAGCTTTTAGAGATGAAAACCTGAGATGTTTAAATAGAATAGTACTAAAGGCTGAACATAGTAGCTTATTGCTAAGGGAATTTTTTTAGCCGAATATGAGCAAAAACCTACAGCATAAAGTAAGAGCCCATTTGAAACCTGCATATGCTTTTACATTTATTTCTGCAGCATATCTTGCTATTCGTATACTTCTTTGAAAATGAAAGTAACAGTAAAGAAAATAGGGATTACATATTGTGGAACTGATCACATTCAAAACCTTTAAACGTGTCTTTATGAGAAATTGTAAAGGTCTTCAGATACAATTGCACTTAAAAGAATAGAACAGTTCAGCACCTTATTATCTAATGTATTCTATTTGTAAAAAAGTAAATAGCAGTAGAATTAGATTGTTGCATTAATTTCCTGCTGCTAATGGATGAAGGAAGACTTGTAAAATGAAGGTGCATTGTATGATTTGGCTGGAAGGCACAAAGGGTAAAACTAAGAATATGGATGAAGGGTTATCCAAACAAGAATGGCAGCTGTTCTGAATCACAGAAGAAAATGTAAGCTTTTCCAGCCTCACAATATCTCCCTAATCCTTGATGAAAATGTTATGAAAACAAAGGGGCAATAAGACAGGATTAATAAGTGGAATTTTAATAACACTGAGGGTCAGAAGACGGTTACATTCTTTTAAGGATCAGCTGTCATTCCAGAAATCTTATTTGTTAAGTATGCTAAAATATAGTAAATTGCATTTGGCATTGCTTAATGACTTGCACTAAATTCACATTCTGTCTTTTATTAATGTAGTTGAAAAATATTAAAATGAGGCATTTTTAGGGGCATTAGTTCCTCCTCTGTGTTCATTGGCTTTTCCCATTGTGGATCTTCCTGGGCGCTTTTGAATATTTTTAGGCAAGGTACATGCATTCAAACTCCTGTGATCTGCTCCTTCCTTAATTACTAAAACACACTCTTGGGTCGTTAATAGTAGAAATAAACCAGGATGTGAAAACTGATGACTCTACATAGGGCTCAGATATTTGTACTGTAAAAAGGTACGAAATGTTGTGATGTCAGAGAACAATAAATTTTTGGTGCTAAGTTGCGCCTTTAGTATGCAGGATACTCTGACAACATGGAATAATTATCCCCCTAATAAGTGTGTATGGAAGGGAAGATAGGTGTGATAAGGGCAGATAAGGGAAGGAGAGAGAAAGCCCCTAAAGGCAATGTCAGTGGAAATGCTGGGGTCCAGTCTCCATAATTCCCAGTTTCTGACACCACGTGCATGCAAACCCCACTGCTTTCTCTGTCAGCTGTGATGCCCTTTTTGAGTTTTATTTAGCTTTGGAGTTTTAGTCTGTTCTTAGGACTTCAAGTTGAATATATATTTGCATGCTGTATTTACATAAAAATTATATTCAGCTTTATTAGAAACTTTATGTATATGAATCAAAGCAAGCTTATATGAGAAAAGGAACATACAGCCAAAACAAATAGTTTTAGAAATTTGCCCTTTTTGAAGAAAGTATCACAGGATACATTTTGTTCGGCAAGATGAAGCCAGTCATCTTTAACTAACATGAGCTGTGTTAACAGATGTTGCTAGAGAAAATTCTCGCTTAGTAAAACCACATTTTTCTGGCCTTCAGAGACAAGGCTGACTAGCAGTGAGCCAGAAACTCCTGTGTGGCCTTGGGAAAGTCATTTATGACCTGATTATGAAAGGTGTTGAAACCCTGTAAGTTCAGTTGAGTCACTCGGTGGAGGTTTTCAGACTTAGATGGCTCTTATTCAGCTATGTGTTGCACTGCTGTAAATGCTGGGAGTGTATATTGGCCTTGTCTGTTTTATCTTTCTATCATGTGGAGATAATTTTTCCCTATTTTGTGGGAGTGAAGATGAGGACTAAATAGTTATTTTTGAGTTCAGGCTCTGATTCATCAGAGCTTTTAAGCATATGCTTCAAAACATTGCTAGATTGCGCAGACATCTCTGAAATAGTTGCAGTAATTAAATGTAAAACATTATGAGCCTGAGCCAGAAACATTAAAGTCGAAAGGCACTTGACATTGACTTTATGCATGGAAGCTCTGATCCTGCTCTCACTTAAATACTATATGCTTGTCACATGCGCATATCTTATTATTTGTAAATCTGCCACTACTCGACTGAATTTCTTCTACGCTGCCTGGTAATGCGGATAGTGATTTTCATCCTTTATAGTACGTGATGCCTTTGGACACTTCTCCTTACCTCTGTTCACTGTTGTGCCTCATACCCGGGTGATTCTTGATCAAAGATGCTTCTATGAATTATAGTACATGGCATACATAAACGTGTTCACATTATTTAATTTAAAAGTATGAGTTGGTTTCTGCAGAAATTCACTGTTTGCCTGTTTCTCACTAGGTATGAGATGTGTATTGTACCCCTTAAAATAGAAAATAATTATTCTGAAACATGTTACTGAACAGTAACATGTATGTATACAATATTTTAAATGGCTTTTAGTCTATTTAGAGATCTCCATGACAGAATATTTAGCTTTTTTATCTTGAAGTACAACAACAATCAAAGGGGGGGATTTTGAGGGATCTTTTTCTTATTGGATAGATAACAATGGTGCAAAATACTAATTTTTCCAGTATTTTATGCTTTTGATTTATTTTTTGTGCCAGCTGAAGTAGAAATCTAAATTCTTTGCGTTTCCATTCAGGCTCTTTTTAATACTTTCTACTTTTTCAGGAGTAAGAAGATTTTTGTGCGAATTTCCTTTCATGTTCTTTATTGGCAGTAAGCAATCTTGTGATTTTTTTTCTTGTTTTTTTTTTATTGTTTTTAACATGCATTGTGGCCACTGTGACACATTGCAAGCCTAGGGTTTAGCTTGCACACCAAGTTTTGCCTGTATTCCTGTAGTCATGATTCTACCAACGTTTGACATGAATAAATCTTGTCTTCAGCATGCTTCTGATGAAGCATGGTGAAACATCAGTCAATGTTCACTGAAGACCTGGTGCTCTTAGCTGAGGTCATGCAAGAAAGCTGCAGAAGAGACCAAAACTGAGTCCAGCTACCCCCAGTTCTCATTTAGTGGTGGAACCATTGTGGCAAATACTTGCTCTCTAGGGAAGTAATGAGTAAAAATATGATTGTGTGTTGTAGCCAGGTTAAAACTAGGAGATGCTGTGAAAAATTGGCAAGCAATTTCACATGTGGGGAGAAATTTTAACGCAGAATCTTTAAATGAAGAAGTTTATTAAAGGTCTGTGGGCTTCAGACATGACAGATTCCATTTATGCTTTACTGAAAACATTTTGTGATGAGGAAAAATCTGATAATTTGCTGTTAGTAAAATATATGTTTCTCATGAAGAAAATAGAACTGTTTTATTCTCCCTCAAATTATTCCTGTGTTCGGGCTGTACATTCTGATAGTGTATGTATAGTACACCAAATATGTACTTCTTTAATTGAAACTCATAAGTTAAATTCTTGATACTTTTTAACTGAAATTGCTCGATGCAGTAAAACAAAACCATCATGTGTATAACTGACTACTTGCAGTGGTTTATTTAAAAATGTGTACTTTATTGCTGGTAGAAGTCACGTGCTAAATAAATGCTTTTCTCTGCAGAGTGAAAGGTTGTGTGATCTTGATAAATGTTTGCATGATTTTTTTCCCTTCCTACAGCACTCTTAGTCCAGATGTTGATCCAGTGCTTGCCTTCCAGCGAGAGGGTTTTGGACGCCAGAGCATGTCAGAAAAGCGTACAAAGCAATTTTCAGATGCCAGTCAGTTGGAGTTTGTTAAAACACGAAAATCCAAAAGCATGGATCTAGGTAGTGAGTGATTTTTTTCAATTATTTTATTTGAACCCGATTTTCATGTTGTAAGTATATAGATTATGTAATTCCAACCACATCGTTTATGTGCAGTATTACTGCACGTAATGTCTACTGGTGTGAAGTAAATTATACTTAATGTGAATGGCCAAGCGGCCTGTGTATTGTTTGTACCACTTGTAAATGTCCATACATTTAACTATCGTAGCCCTCTGGATATATGGTTATACATAAACATAAAAGATACTTATTAAAATGGAGGTGAAAAGTGCATTTATCAATCCACAAAGAATAACTACGCAAAACTGTCCCATGTTATGGTTCTGGGTAGACAGGATTATTCTCTGTACCTGATTATAATGCAATTAGCCTTGAAGATCCTTCACAGTCTCTCATTTTGTAGATGGATTTTGATTAAGATATTAAAGATGCAAGTATTTTTTTAAGAGTTCATTCAGAATTAGGAAATGGGGCTAGTCTGATATCTGGTTGAAACCTAAGTTTTAATATTTATATCAGAAGCCCTGTAAAGTTGCAGTGGCTAAGACAGGCAATCTACTATAATAATTTCAACTGATAAAACAACAGAGAATAAGTAATCGCTAATAAGCCCATCTGTTTTTTTGCCATTGAATTTAGATTCTGAAGCGCAGAATCTAGTAATATCAAAC